TAGTACCCATGCGATTCTACCAATACCAAAGTAAAGAGACCCATGATAGTACCCATGCGATTCTACCAATACCAAAGTAAAGAGACCCATGATAGCACTCCTATGGCATTACTGAACTTTAGTAACTCAGTAAGGCTTTCAAAGGAATTAAATAATAGTGTTGTTCAAGGGAAATTTCAAAATCTCAGCATGTCTCCCTCCTCCAAAGTCTAATGCCCAATATGATCTAACCTTCCAGTTCTTCTTAATCTGCTTGTAAGTTTTGTTGATGGCAGGCAGTAAGACTCGGGGCGCAAGCGTGGTAGCCAGTGTCTTTTTGAGAGATGTGAGACGCATATTAGGCTGTGAGGTGGGACCCATCTCACTCGTGATTTTCTCCAAATGAATCGCCTATTGGAATATAAAAAACAGTGGCCAAGGTCATTATGAATCCTCACTGATGAGGACACAGAAAGGCTTGGTGATGACAGGAAGTCAACTTAAAGGCTAGTCAACTTAAAGGCTTAAATGCTCAGCACATTTTAGCTACATAGATTCCTTGTAAAGCCAGCTCTAACCGTCTCTAGGTAAAACTGGGTTGATGCCTCCTTCCCGGGTGGTAGTTACGAGCAAAGGTAAGTGACGCAGAAGCACACTGAGCCCCCCCCTCCCCGCCCCCGACTGATGATGTTCTTAGAGGACAGGAGTCCAGGGACTACAAGAGTCAAGCTCTCCCTTGATTAAAAATCTAGATGCTGGGGTGGTAGCTCACACCTGTAATCCTGGCACTCTGGGAGGCTGAGGTGGGTGCATTGCTTGAGTTCACAAGTTCGAGACCAGCCTGAGCAAGATCCTGTCGCTACTAAAAATAGAAAAGCCCGAGGCAAAAGGATCACTTGAGCTAAGAATTGGAGATTGCTGTGAGCTACAATGTCACAGCACTGTACCCAGCAATAGCTTGAGACTCTTGTCTCAAAAAAAAAAAATCTAGAACGCTCCTCAGAGCACAAGCCCCTTTCTATGAAGGCTACTCATAAGCGCTGGCTGTAGAATATGGGAACTGGTTAAATGAGTCGCCCTGTGGTAATTTAAGCTGCTAACCTCATAAATGGCAAATAATCAACACCACAGTGATAACCAAGGGAGGGAGGGGTCGACACTCTTTTCCTTCAGAAATGCCACTTGCCCTAGGGTACTGACCAGAAATAGGAATTCTGCTTTGCAAGATGAGTAGGATTAAGAAACCTTTCAGAAAAGAAAGGAACAGGGCACGCCAGTTTCCACAAGAAGTACCTAAATACATTCTGCACAGTTAAAAAGGAGAAACAAGAGCCTTACTAAAAAGTGACCCCGTGTTAATTCCATGATTAAGCAGAAGGAACAATGGCAGGGAAAAAGCTCACATTTTATACAAACAAATATATCTTTTCTGTCAAACAGAAACTGATACAGAACAAATGAAATCACCTGAATTTTAATTTCGCTTTCCCCCTCCACTCTAGCTTGCCTGGGGCCAGCAGGGCTCACCTGGGACAGAACCCCTTCGAGGTAGGGGCTGATAAAGTGCGGGAGAGTCTCGACAACCTTCTGCAGGGCGGCCAGGGCGCTGAGCAGGTAGACCTCGCTGGAGACCAGATCGCTGGTGTGCTTCATTGTTGTCAGCAACGATGGCATGAGGCTGAGAAAAAAGAGCAAGAGTTTTACAGAAAATTTAAGAAGAAACGGAGAATGAAGAGTGGAGTAGAGGTTATTATGAAGAAAATCTACACTACGCCAGTTAACATCACGGTATAGCTCATAGCTTAAAAAATGTCACCTTTATGTAACCAAGCACAAGCAATATCCTGCTGTTAGCAGTATTGACGCAACAGTAATTTTAAAAACCACAGTGTTTTGAATTGCTGGACACTTGCTGTGTGGCAGGCACTGTGTCCGACACCCTGCCAGCACTGCCCTACAGCAATCCCGTGAGGTTGGTGTCCTGGGCTACTCGGCCTGTCTCTGCCAGACCCAAAGACACAGCCAGGAAAGCACCCCCCTCCCCAGGGTGCAGCAGGCAGCAGCATCAGCCTCCGGCAAGGAGCTTTAATTACCACTAGTCAAAGGGAAGGAAGAACTGGGGGGGCAATCTGCACCACAAAGCAGTTTTCAGTTCGAAGAGAACAATACCTTACAAATCTAATTTTACGTAGCTTCTACTTAAAGCCAAAAACCAGATCCCCCTCTCTAATGTTACTATGTTTTAATCCATATGGTTAGTACTGCCAGTGCCCTGCAGCGTACCTGGGAAGCTGAGGGATGGCCAGCGCTTCCAGGGTGGAGGCCACCTCCGCTATGCAAAGCAGGGCACTTCCCAAGACATTCTTCTCCTCCTTCCCTTCTGGAGCAATGAGTTTCACTGCAGTATCCAACACTGGGACAAAAGGCTCTGGATTGTGGGCACCGAAATTCTTGCATAGAAGCTTCAGAGTATATAAAGCCGTCTGTCTGTTGATTGCTTGTTCCTCTTCCCCCTCCTTTTTCTTACGCTGGACAATGGCCAAAAGGTCTGGGACCAGTTTTAGGAATCGGTGAACCTGAAGAGGACAGGCAAAATCCCCAGATAATGAAAGCTGCAAAAACTGCTGACCCATTTTCCATTGTCACGGCCTCAGGCTGTCTAAATGAAAATCAGACACACGATTAAACGCAGAAATGGTTTCTCCATCTGCTTTATTTACCACTAAGCAAATGCATACGCTTTTGGCCAATTTCTGATTTATATGAAGCAACTACTGGTCTAGAGTACAAGAGGATTAGAATTACGCTAAAGCTGAGGCAACACACAGCCTGTATTAAGTAAAAATTCTCTCCGGCTGAGATGCCATTCTAGGAACTCTCACAACACATGTACTCCCACAAGAATTAACATCACAGTTTTAAACACGTGCATGTCTGGGTATTATACTCAGGTAATAATAATATACTTTTTTTTTTTTTTTT